TGGCACCTGCCACTAGTTTACTGGCAGCTGCCACTAGTTTACTGGCACCTGCCACGCTGCTCTGGCAGCTGCCAGTAAACTAGTGGCAGCTGCCAGTAAACTAGTGGCAGGTGCCAGTAAACTAGTGGCAGCTGCCACGCTGCTCTGGCAGCTGCCAGTAAACTAGTGGCAGCTGCCAGTAAACTAGTGGCAGAATGCTCAATTGGTGGTAAACTGCCCAATCTGGCAACACTGACCTCCACCTCTCCAAGTTCTCTTCCACTTGTTCTCTGTTCTCACCACAGATCACGTCATCTGCAAACATCATCCACGAGGATTCCTCTCGCATCATCTCATTAGATCGTGCATAATGTTATTTTCAAGGTTTGACCAAAGCAAAAACAAAACCTTTGTCATTTCAACACAAAATATTTTTCTAATCAGAGCGAGTGACGGGACAAGCTGTTTCACCTGACAAAAGGAGGCCAACAAAGACCAGAAACATTCAGGTGGATAAAGAGTTGAACACAGACAGACACGGTCACCAAAGCAACCAGTTGCTCGTCACAAACACACCTTTAAGTAAGACTTTTCTCAACAATGTGTAAATCTTTTAGCTAAATAAATTCTGGGTAAAACCTTTGTTGGAGCCAGAGTCGCTTTATGTTTGGTTTCCCTCTATTGTCCTTTTGGTTTCACTCCAACCAATCAGGACTCAGGAATGTTGAGAAGAATCACACCTGCTCTGTCGCTTCAGCTTCATCCTACGAGCAACAACTATTTTCTCCAAAGCTGGAACACTTTAGTACTTTCTGTCTGTACTTCTGGTACAAGAATGACCAAAACAACCATCCAATTTCACGTCTACAGCCAAATAATGCAGAACCATTAGTCATCGCCAACTTTTAGAACCTCGTGAAATAGTTTACCAAACCAGAAATTCTTCAGTTCTCTCACTGATGAATAAAGAAATGCTGTGGAATGACAACAAGCTGCGTCTCTGTCAGAACTCACTATGGTGCCACATACAGAGACACAACGACACCAACTCCTGGACTTCCAGCATCATCTTAACTAGCTGTGTGTCATGTACCAGGGTAACTTGTAAACAGCTGAAGACCTCTCTCACATTGACTGATGTTCCTGAGTCCACCATCAGGAGAACTCTGAACAACAATGGTTCATGGCAGGGTTGAAGGAGAAAGACACTGCTCTCCACAAAGAACATGGCTGCTGGTCTGCAGTTTGTTAAAGATCACGTGGACGAGTCAGAAGACCGTTGGAACAATGTTCTGTGGACGATGAGACCAAAGTAGAACATTTGGTTTAAAAGAAAAGAGTTCTGTTTGGAGAAAGGACAACAGCATCCCTGCAGAAGAACCTTATCCCCTCTGTGAAACATGGTGGTGGTACTGTCATGGTTTGGGCCTGTGCTGCTGCATCTGGACCAGGACTTCTTGCCATCATTGATGGAACAATTAATTCTGCATTATATCAGAGAATTCTAAAGGAACATGTCAGAACATCTGTCCATGAACTGAATCTGAAGAGAAGGTGGGTCATGCAGCGACAATGACCCTCAGCACCAAAGAACGGTCCAAGAAGCATAAAGTTCCTGTTGTGCAATGGTCCAGTCCAACTCCTGACCTTCACCCAATCCAGATGTTGTGGAAGGACCTGAAGCTGCAGTTAATGTGAGGAAACCACCAACATCCAGAGTTGAAGATGTTCTGCACGGAGGAATGGATCCAAGTCCTTCACACCAGCTACTGAAAGCAAAGGTTCACATGTTTTACAGACATGTGACATTGGATCATTTTCCTCAACGAGTGACTCGAATATTTCACTCTCAGTTGTTGAACTGGGTTCTTTATCAGCTTTTAGGACTTGTGTGAAACTCTCAAGATGTTTAAGGTCAGACTGATGCAGAAATATAGTGTTCTCTGAGCACACTGAGATTAAAGGGATTAAAGGCGTTGCTCTTGTTGCACAACTAGTTGATCATTACTCATCTTCTGTTTGGTCCCATCAAATGGTGAGAAACAGAGGGTGTGTAAGAACAAACAAGGAGCGCTGCATCTGACGGAGAGAGGAGTCGACAGATGTGTTGACTCCAGCTCTCACCTGCCCCTCGTTACTAATCTGACCAGCTGCGCTCACGTCTTCTTATTTCTCTCCACTTTCTTCAACTCCTGGCTCATTCCACCACGGTGTGGCCATGTTTGTTCCTTTCCAACTCGTGCCACTGTGCTGCCTCTGTGTTTGGTTCTGCTGCCCCATCATTATATTAGTTCACTGTCCGTGCAGCCGTCAGGCCTCAGGCTGCATCCTGGGGTTCTTAAACACCCACCCCCCGACAAATGATGCTGACAGAAAACACAGGTAAAACCAGATGTTGGTGACAGGTAAAGCCAACAGATAAACAAGTGCTGACAGATGTTTCAATACCAACATTATCTTGTGTGTGTGTGTGTGTGTGTGTGTGTGTGTGTGTGTGTGTGTGTGT